CCTTCCACTAAGTACCAGTTCTAGCTTAATAACTGAGAAACCTTAGTCCCATGCTATTTTTATGTAACCGTTTTTCAAAAGATAAACGGTGAAAGGTTATGTCTATCCATTTTGGGACGTGCCACGCATTCAGTTCCCACTCGTAGTCGTAAAAGCGCAGTAGAATGAAATTCCACGAAGGCGGTTGCGAAATACCGCAGGAGAACACTACAAGGTACATATTTCTACCGAGCGCTGGTTTTTACCGTCAGACCTCGTTTCGAACCGTTCGGTGGGACCATACAGACTCAACAGGACTCAATTTTTCAAGCTTTATCATAAAGTGAAAGGTATGGCAGGTACCAGGCTACAATGGGGAAACCTTTCGTTGCGCATTACCAAAAAGTAGGTATGCATCTTTCTATTGAGGTCCGATTCTTTGAGAATCGATTCTCTCCTAATTTGGCATGGAATTCAGATGAGTTCCTTTTGCTGGTTTTCTATCCTAAATAAAATGTCGTCAAGATTGTTTGGACTATGAAAAAATAATCTCACAGTAAGTTTAACAAATTTTCTTGTGCCTTACGAGGTTGTTCGGTGGAACCTTTATTAATGGCCTAACGTTTCGACTGAATCGTCGTCTTCAGAGGCCGTCGGTTCCACCCTTCGAGCGGAAAAGTCCGCTGCCACACAGAGCGCTGATCAGTTAGAACTTAGTTCAGTCGAAACGTTAGGCCATTAATAAAGGTTCCACCGAACAACCTCGTAAGGCACAAGAAAATTTGTTAAACTTACAACTGACATGCCGAGGTTACAAGAAGAGAGAAGTTGGAGAATCTCAATAGTCTTTTGATATTACAGGCTCTGACGAAGGCGAATAGGCGGAAACGTAAGCTCAGAAAAAAATGCTGTGATTTTGGAGAGGCTAGCAAAATATACACAGTATCTATACAGCCACAGATAAGTTATTCACCTTGAAAATGTGCCCGAAAGAGGTGTCCTCAATGAGGTCTTCGATATACTGCATTTGTTTGCTGATCAATGTCCATGCAAGGCGGTCCATTTCCTCTAAATTCTATTTCAAGAGGTTTTCATGAAAAAGATACAGAAGAAGTCAACTGCAGACCTTCTGCATACAGCAATAGATCCAGAGTAGACTCCGATATCCAGTTTTGAGGTCTTGGAAAAGTCGAACGCGTCGACGAGGATCATCGACCGATCAATCGTTGATATCGCCTGTGAAAAAAGTAAAGACTAATTTGAGTTGAAAAATATAAACAAGGCATTCAACATCGAGCAAAGTTTCTGCAGAATGCGACACTTATTCAACTTCTATAAAAGCTCTACTCGCTTTTTATACGATAAAACCTACTTGTAGCGGTAGGAAATGTGATAGTCTCCACGTCCGGTCCTCCCCCACCTCCAACAACTCTTTTGTTTACCAAACCCCAAAGAGGTGGGCACGATGCCTAGACAAAAGATAGGCCAAGGTTTTTCATCAGGCCCATGTGGTAGTGATGCCACTTGTAAGCAAGCTTTTGGTGGAGAGGTGCAGCTAGGAAAAGAGAGTACTCCTGCAATGTTCGCAGGATAGCACCATGTCTGGGGCTGTAAAGCCCTGCAACTTTTTTTGCTTTTCTCGATCACTGATGGACCATTCACAGCAATATTCATATTCGGTTTCATCTATTCAACGGCGGAAGTTTCTTTATAGTATGATTTATCCGACTAAAATTGATGACTTGTTCAACAGTTTATCCTCGCATGTCATTGTGAAGGCCAAGTCGTATTTTGCAGCAATGTCACTATGACTCTGGATAGAAGTTGAATATGTTCGATCAATTTTCGAAACCGGTTGGTTCTATCTTCAATGAAGCGATTACGATAAAGAGGGAGCGCATCGAGGAAGCATATACACCACACGAAGTCAGTTACTTGGCTGCCAGGGAAGCGAGGTGTGGCGCTTTCACGACGAAAGGTGCGCTGGTTGCTGAGCAGGACTTCGAAAGCACTCCGCCCCAAACGATCCGCCCACTAGTTTACTTGGTGATTTGGACGAGCTGCGTTGCCAGCAGCGGCACAACTGGAAGGAACTCGACTGGAGCATGGATTGGCATGGTGTCACCAAACGCGCGCTGCGGAACTCGCCAATACTCGGCCGTCTCACCCGCTGCGTCGCTCTTCCTGACGAAGATTACACGGCCAAACAAGGATAGGCCTCATATTCATTTCTTGAATGAACTTCTACTGTTTTTTAACCAATCGCATAACAAGATCACTCTGCCCCCTTAAACCTCTCTAGAATATACTATCCCTGCCTGAAGCAAACATCGCGCTAGCGTCAGGCTGAGAAGATTTTAAGTATTATCAATAAAGGGTTCGATATAAGAGCGATGTGGTTAAGATGGAGATTTTCCGCAAAGTTAGGCTTGTCTGATAAGACCGCACTCATATCAACGACACAGTGACATGAAAAATCGACGTATCGCATACTACACGTTGAGATCAACAGCAACGTTGCAAAATACCCCTGTCCACGTCAAACGTATGTGGCTGCGATATTTGGTTCGTTCCCATGGGATTTATCGCTACCACTGCTTAACCTCTATCCCTTTGGTGTCACCTACCGTATGATTGGTGCGAAGTTGTTTTGCAAGTGCTGCGTAGTTCTTCTTGTCGTAGAGCACTTTCACATAACTGAAACCACCCGTGTTGGCAATCACCCACTTTGCGTGCTCTGCTAACGGCCAGGTGACTGAAATCAGGCAGTTACTATTGAACTACATAGAACATATACAAGCCAACAAATAAATAAACAGAAAACACAAATCACACTATGAGCAATAAAGACTGATGAATGACGAAATGAAAACGAATGAAAAAAAATACTGCTGGTTGTTAGGGGTTCCACTTCCTACGCAAGCTAAATCCTTGATCTGCCGTACCTTTATTATGATCGACATTCATCCAGTGCAGTCTTGAATCGGGCTGTGAATCGGTGCGGTAGTGAACTGGAATCGGCCACTCTGTGTCGTCCTTCATGCCGTCTTCAAAGAAATGCCGTGTCTGTGAAAAAATTCTACAGCTTGCTATTCCCTTGGCTATCACTTTGCATAAGCCACTAGACAGCCGGGAGGATTAAAAAGATAACCGTTAACTGGGAAACCTGTGAGGTAAAATAGTTGGCTGTTTCGGCTATTAATTGGGCTTTCATTTTTCTTCCACTAAGAGGTGTGCATTGGATACGATTTTAGATCGTGCAAATACGCTTGACGAGCGCGACTTCGCCACATGTCACGTCTCCGGCGGAATAGTCACAGTACCAAATGGCTGGAGCGGCTCCCTGAGGTAGATGGCTCAACCTTCGCTATCCACCATCGGCCATAGGAAGTAATTAAAAATTGGAAAGATTGAATACGTGGCCTACTTAAAGAAATTCTGCGTACTGCTAATTGCACATTTGCGTGGTGAAAATTCAGATCTAATGTCACACGCTCTTTTGTGCAAGGATGGTACGCAACTTTCAAGGTAGTGGACAGGCTGTGCCCATTGTCGAGTATAGTTGGTAAAATGTTCCTCCGAAAAAAATGCTTCATTTAGCAGCAGACTGGCTTTCCGTGACAAATGTGGAAAATCAATGTGATAGCATCGCATTGATGGAACACGCATTAATTTCCAATGACCTTTTGAAATGGGCGGAGTTTCCTACATATCAATAAGGTAGTACCTGATTATGCACGACGACTTCGTTGTTTGACAGTGTCACATAAATCATTGGACATCCCACTTGGGTGATGTAAGCAGTGGCCAAGCTGGCGATTGACACCCCATGGGGGAGAACGGCGTGCTGAAAGATCAGCAGTAATGGTTAACTCGCAAAATGACCCTTTTGACAGAATAAGCTAACTTTCTCGACGATTTTCCATAATTGTGCGCCTTTAGCATTGCCATAGGCGTACTTGTTGAGGTACTGTATAAGAGATCGTTGAAAGTTTCGCTCGCCGGACAGCGATTGTAACATTCGAATGATTGCAGCAGGCCTGAAGTGCGTGTTTGCAATTGCTTCGAAGATCTTGAACAAGCAACTTCCTTAAAAGCACCTTGTGATAGCTGATCGCATCAAACAAGCCCATGATGTTCGTTTCATTTGAGTATGGGTGGAAACGGCTCGAGAGCTTCTCAAACCATCTGGTTCATGGCTAAATGCCACATTTTCCACATAGAATCGAGTCATCTGAAAGTATCGATAAGCTGAGTTTAGAAAACTGTGAGAGTAACCGTCGAAAAATCCTCGACAGGGGTCGTATTGCGTGATTTGCTGAGACTCATGTTGCATTTTAAGGTGAATTGGTTGGGGTAAGTTTTACATTTTTGTGGACGGTTGTGTTTTATCAGTTGTGTAGCTCCTCCCCCCTCCCTCAACGCTTTCAACGAGGCTTAGGCTTTCAGGGCAATGTTTGAAGTGTGCCAGTGCGAGATTCACAGATACTATCGAGACCATCGGCGAAGGTGGAACAACTGGAGGAGATGAGAATATGTCGCTACGGCTCGTGAGGAGCTGAGAGAGCTGTGTTAATGGCATGAAAGAGTTGTACCTGAAGAAGTTTTTCTTATTGTGGCTCACATCTAGAGAAAACCTCCTTTAAGTTCTCCCGTGGGGCCGGGGTGGTGGCAGTTAAGCACAAGGGTGGTGAAACTGGCGCAACTTAAAAGTAAGCTGAAGGGAAATAAATGCCTTGGATTGACCGCTGCGATCGCTGCCACTCTTATAAATCGCAGCATTCAGGGCGTTTGAACTTCGCTTACAACGACGTGCTCTCTCGCATTTTCTCTCTCCTCGCAGCGCAGTGTCTCTCCGTCTTACAACGACCGACCTCACAAAGGAGCCATATTCGGTATTTATCAGCAATCAGATTAATATCCACTTACAATATTCCAGTCGGGAAACAGTTTGTCCACACATCTATATTCCATGTAGTTTGCGAAGCCTTCGTTCAACCACAAATCATTCCACCAGTTCATTGTCACGAGATTGCCGAACCACTGCAGAAATGTAGTATTAGTAAAGCACCAAAAAGTTGACAATTCTTCCAAAGAATTTGTAGGAAAAAGGAGAACATTGGGTTGAAAAACGCGGTAGCGTTCTTTTTTTGAGCCTGAAAATTCTATCAATACAAGTACCACTCGGAAAACAAGTGTATGATTTGAAAGAAGATTTTCCGCTCTACAAGGTTTTGTTTGTCCTTTCCTTAAACATTATAACTGAAGTTAGAGTGTTCAGAAGTTGAGAAATACAGGAGGCAGGAGTCATCGTTTGAATGGCTACTTTTCGTCGATTTATATGAATAGAAAAAATTACCACGAGGAAACTTCTTTCGAATGCATCGTTCTCAACGAACCTAACTCTAAACTGCACTACCTAAATTTTAAACCATATTTTATATTAAACAGATTGGGGATAACGAGCACTTCGACAATGGGCTAAACACTTTTTTTCTAAACCCGCTGATTTCCTCTGATTTACACTAGAATGGAATCCACGTCGTGAATGACGACAACGAGAATATTACTGATTATTTCATTTTTTTAAAATGCTCCAATCGTTTTTATTATGGAGCTATCCCTGAGTCCATTAATTCAAGCCTCTCCGGCTGTCTCCAGAAATAAACATCAGAGAGGAGGCCATGGAGGCCATGAGACTTCTGAGTTAACGGTGGATAAA